TTCTGTAAAGGTTGGGACAGTCAGCATTCTAGGCTTTACTATCTCTCCTGGAATACTCATCTCTGCTGTGTAGCTGGAGAGCAGCCACAGATGACAAACAGACGCTGTGTTCCAATAAAACTTTATTTCAAAAACAAGAGTGGGCCCTGGATGGGGTGGTTAGAGTGTCACCCCAATATGCCAAGATTGCAGATTAGGTCCCAGTCAGGCCCATATAAGAATCAACCAATGAATGTATAAGTGGAACAACAACTCGATGTTTCTATCTCTCCCTTCCTCTCTCTCTCTCAAATCAATAAATAAAATTTTAAAAAATTAAAAACAAGCCCTGGCCGGTTTGGCTCAGTAGACAGAGTGTTGGCCTGCGGACTGAAGGGTCCCAGGTTCGATTCCGGTCAAGGGCATGTGCCTTGGTTGTGGCACATCCCCGGTGGCGGGTGTGCAGGAGGCAGCTGATCCATGTTTCTCTCTCATTGATGTTTCTGGCTCTCTATCCCTCTCCCTTCCTCTCTGTGAAAAATCAATAAAAAATTAAAAAAATAATTAAAAACACAAGCAGGAGTGGGATGACTTGGCCTGTGGACTATAGTTTGCCAGCCCTGGAATTAGAGCAGTGCAGTTTGAACTTTCTATGTCATTTTTATAAAATGTTGCCAAGATCCATAAAAACAGTATTGTGACCACAGGTTGGAAAGCGTCACTTTGTAGGGGCAGAAAGCGAAGGAGCGCTGGAGGGAAGAGCATGGTCGGCCCGGCACGGCCGCCCTGACGCAGCCAACAGTTCCGGGCAGAGAGGGCGGCCGGTGGCAGGTGGCACACCCAGGGCATCGGCAAGGTGTCCTGGCCAGATGGGCCGTGACAGTGTCCATCCTGTTCCCTCAGGTCCTGCTCTTCATCCCAGGCTCAAGGCGTCAGCTCATCACCCGACGATGTCCTTTCAGGAGCAGAGCGCAGAAGCGCAGGTGGACTCTGCAGATGGGGAAGGGGCCGGAGCCCAGGGCAGCACAGAAGGTGAGGTGCTTGTGAGGGTTCTCCCTGCACCCCCCCCGCCCCCTCCAGAGGAGCCTGCACAGGCCCCTGCCTCCGGGACCCTGCATGGGGACGGAGCTTTGGGAATCTCCTTGGTAGGTGAATCCCAGGACAGAAATCCTCAAGGGGAGATGAAGCTTGGTCGCAGGCGACCGGGGCAGCCGATGGTAGATAAATGGGTCAACTTTACCAGGGGCTCGGGGAGTGATGTCCTGACTCGCCATCGGATGGTTTTGAACCCTCCACTCTCACCTCGTGCCCCTGCCTGCCCAGCCCAGCCCAGCCGAGGCGGGGCCTGTGTGGGGTCTCTGCGTCTGGCTGGGCAGTGACCCAGCGCTTCTGAGCACTCCCGGGAGGAAGCACTGGGCACTGGCTCAAGGGGGATATTGAAAGCAAAACGCTGACCCATGTGGCTGTCCAGTGCACGAGTGTGAGGAGGAAGGGCCTGGGACATGCCAGAGGCCACGTCCGAAACTGTGGACTCACACGTGGCCGTCACAGTTTGAAGCTAAAATCAGGACGTTGGTCTGGCAACTGTGGGTCCATTAAGGGTAACCACAGGGAGGTGGGGACCTGCCCGCTCCTGGAGCAGGGCTGCGGGTGGCTCCTGCGGCGGGGGAGTGGGCGCTGGGCAGACCTGGGCCTAGGAACTTGTACCAGCGACACTGAGCCGTGTCCTGGCGCTGCCTCTGTCATCAGTGCCCTCTGCTTCTCGGAAGCCTGGGGCTGTCCGAGCCAGGGACACATGGGGGCACATGGGGGCACATGGGGACATCCAGCTCTGGGCGGTGTGAGGCCTCAGCGGTGGCCCAGCGGTGGCAGAGCCGGGCTGTCAGGTCCTGCTCGCAGAGCACAGACTGGCTCTTCTGCAGCCCGTGAGCCCTGCGTCTGGTTCCCCCCAGGCGGGCCTCAGACTTGGGCCCCCACAGTCGTGGGTAAGGGAAGCTCTGCCCTGAGCTGTGCACGTGCGATGGCGGGCTCTGCACTCAGCTCCAGTTTACCTCCGTTCCCCAGCATTTTTGACCAGAAAAGTTATTTTTAATGTCGCCATTCAACCTTTTTAATGTTCTTAGTGCTTCTGAAAACACACACAGACAGGTAAGACATTAAATGGCTCCTGGTGCTCCTGGTCCCTGGAACACTCAACCTCACTGTCTCTCATTCCAGACCCAGCCCAAGATGCCCTGGAGCCCAGCCTGAGCCCCTCCTCTCTCAGCTTGGCCGCAGCAGGTACGGCCCCGGGGCCTGGACAGGGTGGGGTGGGGACGGTACCTCAGGGCCCTTTCAGGGGAGGGGGAGAACCAGAGACGGGGGACACCTATGGGTGCCAGGGTGGGGCTGACACTTCTCCTTTGTAGAAACACCTCTTAGTAAGACCAACAGGAAAGATGGGCTTTGGTTTCTGCAGAGAGAGGTCACACATACCTCTGAGTGGCTCAGGAGAAACAAGGCTTTGAGCCTGGGAACCATCCAGGTTCCTGACTGTTGCTGGCAACCGTGACTTCCCCACAGCGCCTGTGAAAACCAGGAACTGGGCAGGGGGGGCGTGGGGGACCCACACCATGGGTGCCCCAGACACACTGAGCTAGAACCTGTCCCACAATAACCCAGGAGAAATGCTAGCATCACCACATTCCAGGTGCAGACACTGAGGGGGAGGGGGGTTTCCTGCCCAGGTGCACAGGGTGTAAGCGACAGATGCTGGGATCGGAGGAACTACAACATCTGTCTGCCCAGTCAGGTTTCAGGCGCCCGCCCCCTCGCCCCCTGCCCAGGGCAGCGTCAGGAACCCGTGGCCCGAGTCCCAGCTCCACCGCAGGCCATGGGTGCACACCGAGCCTCGATTCCTCCTGGGGAAAGGGCCGTGAGCCCCACAGGAGATGAGGTGCCAGGACGGCCTCGCATCCCTGGGAGCCACACTGCTGCTGCCTCAGGGTTTGGTTGGGGTTGGCCCTGTGGGTGGAGGCGTCTGCTCCTGCTCCGCACTGTGCCCGTCTGGTGCCCCCGCCCACCCGGGGGCAGAGGTGCTCAGTGTGTGGTCCCTGGACCAGCAGCAGCAGCTCCTCCTGGAAATCTGGGGAATAAGGAGTTTCTGATTCCACATAGACTCTCGCATTAGAAACTCGGGGTCCGAGGCTCGGGAGTTTTCGCAGCCATCGGGTGACAGGTGCTCGGCAGGGAAGACACCAGCCCCTGGAACATGATGCTGGACCGAGGCCCCTGTAAGGACATCGGCAGGCTGGATTGGGGTCAGGAAAGGTGCGAGAGAGGACATGCACAGGCCTGAGCGGAGATGGGGGCCCTAGTCAGGCTGTGACAGGAGGGAACAGAAGTAAGAGGACAGATTTAGGAAATACAGGGTGGCCCCCAAAATGTATGCACACTTTAGCAGGGGATAGTTCATTTTGAAAATGATCTCTATCACTGCCTTTATTATTATTCAAAGTGTGTGCATGCATTTGTTGGGGTTACCCTATATTTCAGAGTTAAAAAGCACGATGTTAGTGCTAGAAATGCAACTTACAGAGCTTGTCTGGGTGTCACTCTGGACCAGTTGACTCAGAATCTCAGGGTGTGAGGCCCAGGCAGTCATGGTCTTAAAACATCACCCACAAGGTGGTCCAACGTGCAGCCAGGTGGCACTCACACCAGCAGCAGTGCCAGCCCCGGGGCTGATGGGAAGGCAGAGTTGTAGGTGAGGTTAATGTTTGAGAAGTTGGAAGGTGTAGAGTTTATCTGGTTTAATGATTCTGAATCAACCGCCTTCAGTCCCATGAACTCAGAATGTCTGGGCTGGGCCCAGAAAGCTCCTGGGAGATTCTAGTGTAAGCCGGGCTGTGACTCCCAGACCTCACGTGACCCACGGACCTCACGTGACCCCATATCATTGCAGTTACTTAGGGTCTGGCCCAGGCCACCTATCCTGTCATAAGCACCCTTGGGGCACTAGGCTGGGGCCCAGGAGGACTGTGCCAGGTCAGACAGGTACCTGCACACAGGACCTCCCAGTGCTGTAGGGAGATGAGACTGGGACACCAGCCCTGTGCCCACCCACCCCCCGCTGGGCCACTGTGGCCTCCCGCCTCCACCCATCAAGTGCCTGAGCCCCACAGAGGGCGGGCCGCCTGCGCAGTCAGAGGCCCAGTGGGGAGGGCGTCTGCTGGCAGGGCTGGCCTGAACCCTCTCTCAGGAGCCCTGCCCTGGCTGCGGCTGGTCCTGCCCTTTCAGGGAGGTTCTTCTAAGGCCAGGTTCAAGGCCTGCCGCTTTCTGACGGGCCTGCAGGGCCAGCTGGTCTCAGGATGCGGCCTCCTGTGCTTCCTGCCTCCACCTCGCACCCTCCACTGCCCCTCCATTGGCCTGGCCAGTGCCGGATGGGTTTCCCCCAGGCACTGCTGGGAGCATGGTGTCTCCGGAGAGGAGATAGTGCAGCAGAGGGGTTAAGAAGAATAATGATGAGCATAGTAATGATTGACAGCTCTCTGTCTGAGTTCTTTCCACACTCAGACGCCTGACTAAGGGTCGTTCGTTTGAGTAAGCATTTTAATCCTGCTAGCACACCTGCGAGGTAGGTGTGTTCTTACCCCCATTCTACACACGCGGACATGAGGTTTGGAGAGAATAGGGGCGTCTGCGATGTGCTAGAGCAGTAAGTCACAGAGCTTGGGGCTGAACCCACGTGTCAAAATTGGGAACTCACGTGCTCACACATGTGCTGAATCGCTGGTCTGGAGCAAGGCAGGGAGCCTGGGGTGGGGAGGTCTTCAGTGGGCTGATGTCCGAGCCCACAGGCAGGAGGAGGGCTGGGCTGGGACCTTCCTGTGGCCTAAGAAGGATTGAGTTTTCCATTTTCAATGTGAAGTGTTGACATCTGGTTATATTCATCTAGACCCAAGAGTGAAGTACTCAGAACCGCAGAAATTCAGCTTTCACGACCGGGACCACAAAGTATTGGTGCTGAACTGTGGGACCCTCATAGCAGTTCATAAAAAAGCCTTCACAAGCCCAGTGGGACCTTCCTGTGGCCTAAGAAGGATTGAGTTTTCCATTTTCAATGTGAAGTGTTGACATCTGGTTATATTCATCTAGACCCAAGAGTGAAGTACTCAGAACCGCAGAAATTCAGCTTTCACGACCGGGACCACAAAGTATTGGTGCTGAACTGTGGGACCCTCATAGCAGTTCATAAAAAAGCCTTCACAAGCCCAGGTGACTCTCTTCTCTCTCTCTCTCTCTCTCTCTCCTGTTTTCTGTCCCCCAAGTCCTTCCAGCTGGGACTCAGCTCAGGCTGTAGGGCACCTCCAGCTCTAAGCAGGGGGCAGGCAGTGGGTGGAGCAGCCCCGGGACTGCTGGGAATGCAGTGTGGAGTGGAGGGTCTGAGGGCACAAGATCTGAGGGGAGTCTCTCTGGTCTGTGGGGGAGGAGGAGGCTTGCACCCGAGTGAAGGAGCCTGCAGCCCCGCAGACAGAAGGCTCATGCCTGCTCTGAGGACCACCCTGCTTTTTGTGACTCTTTTCCCAGAGACCTTCTACGTCTTAGCCTCTACCCTGAGCTCAGAGGGTAACAAGGGAAACCCCGTCTTCCTGGCCGTCTCAGGAGGAAAGCTGTGTCTTTACTGTGAGATGGACAAGAAGAAAGGCCGGCCGACCCTCCAGCTGAAGGTGAGCGCTCGTTCCCACCCAGCGTCCTGTCCTCTCAGCCAACCCAAAGGGGAAGGCCAGGCCGGCAGTGCCCCTCGCCCCCCGCTATGCCTCTCCCCTGTTCCGGGGCCACAGGACCCCCTCCTCCCCGCCCCCCCCTCGGGAAAGCCGGCTAGAGAGCTGCTGGCCCTCCTTGGCTCTGAGCTCCAAGAGCCCACGCTGAGGTTTCCCTGGGCAGAGGCTGTGCTGCTGACCGCTCCCTTCTACCTCACAGAAGAAGGACATCTCCCAGCTGCATGCCTCAAACACAACAGATTTGAAGGGCTTCACCTTCTACAGGAAGAAGATGAGCAAGTGCTGGAACACACTGGAGTCGGCGGCCCACCAGGGCTGGTTCATCAGCACCTGCCATGTGAATGAGCATGTCAGAATGACAGACAAGCCTGGGACACAGGAGCTCGTCGACTTTGCGTTTGTGCCAGTCAGCAGCGCTCACACGGGCCCCAGTGAGGTCAGCGAGTAGGACACGAATCTCACAACTTTCTAGTTTTGCGTTCGGCTGCTCCGAAAGTAAAGACATAATACCGGAAATCAAATGCTTCACTTTAAGGAGACGGTAGGCCTTCACTGCTTCACAGTCAGATCTTCCTAATCTTTGTCATCTGCATTTTAAAGTCATTTCCAAGTAAGTTGCACTGAAAACCCACAAAAATTAAGCCTGTGGTGAAAAAAATGCACTAGTATTCATTCCATGCATTTATTGCTAAATACTTTCATGTAGTCAATAAAGATCTGAGTGTGTTACAAAATAAATGTGTCAGTCATATAAAAAACAAACTATTAAAAACTAATTTGCTGAAGGTACTAAGCCCAAAAGTTTACTTTAATGAATCAGCTAAATTTAATTTTGTCAAACTAGTTTTTGCGTTTACTTCACTATGAAATACCTTTAGTCATTAGATTTAGGCAGGTTAATATTAGAAGTGGGTAATAAATATACATGTACATATGCACTGAACTGGAAGGTAAATGTATTTCAAAGCGTGCGCTGTAGTAGAAAAGAACTTTGAAAAGCACGATTCCCTGCTTATGAAAGCGGTCCGCTCTGGGAACCCACAGAGCTCAGCTCTGCAGCCCCAGGTGTGGGCTCCCGAGGCGGTCACTCACACTCACTCATTGTCTCTCAGTGTCATGGCGCCCTCTGCTGGTCACAGAAGGCAGTGCAGACGGCTGCGCAGCTCCCCCAGGGACAGGTAGAAAAGGTGATTCAAGGTCTCTGGATGCCCTGGCAGCTGGGCCCTCTCTGCAGCAGGACCCATGAGGAGGTTCTTTAAGGGGTTTGCGATGAGCCAAACACTTTCATTTGTGAACCTAAGGTGAGCAAGGAGTGAGCAAGGAGGTGAGCAGCATCAGCTCATAACAGGTCTTGGGGTCTCACTACAGAGCTTTCGGGGTAGACAGTGTGGAGGGCTGTACTCAGGGGAGTGGTGTGAAGGAGAGGAAGGTGAACCGCCTGGAGCAGGGTGGACCGTTATGGGCGGACAGGAATCCAGGTGATGTGTGCCCCCGGGCCTCAGGTGGGGTGCCCTGTCTCCACCTGCCCTACACCTGTGAGACTGACCCTGTGGCCAGCTTCCAAGGTCTCTTAGTTGTGCTCAGGCTGAGGGAGATCAGAGAAAGGGGAGAGCTAGGTTAGCGTAGCCCCCTTGCTAGCTCCAGCCTTTTCCTACCCCGTCACAGCCCGCCCCCTGCCCTTCCTGTCTGGAGGAAGTGATGGACTTCAGCGTGGCAGCTGGTCCTTCTCCATCTCCCAGGATTTCTCTGGACCGGCCTGCACTTTCGCACATACTCCCTCACACCCTGCGAGTGCGCCTCTGTCCCTAGCCAGGGCACATGCGTAAGAGCTTGCACTTTGTTGCCTCAGCAATAGGGAGTCATTGAAGGTTTTAGAGAACAGTGCGAGAGCAGATGAGCATTCTGGAAAACTCTGTCTGGCTGAAGTGAGCAGTTTGGCCTGAGTCAGTGAGGGTTGGAGGCGAGTGAACCATTAACCGGCAGCAGGGGGAATCCAGGTGACACACAGTGGCCTGAGCCCCACAGCACCGGGTCTGGGGGTGAGGGATGTGGAGAAGCCGAGCCATCAGATGGGCATGCCAGCTGCACATGTTCCTTGGTACGTAACTTTAAAAAGCTGGAAATTCAATGTTTTGTTTTTGGGGTTTCAAAAACCAGTGTGATAAATGTGTCACATCGAAATGTGCTTTGCCCTGCCTCTCAGCCCCGCCCCATCCTCACAGGCTGGGAGGGCAGCTGGATCTTCAGCACGTGCTGTTCCTGAGTCTTTCTGGCCCCACAGTTCACTCTTAGACTAGTGTCCAATGTAAGCATGATGTGAGGCGCAAAGGTGAGCCATGTAGGGAATTTTAAATTTTCTGGTAGGCATATGAACAAAAGCACAAAGAAAGAATGAAACTTAAAATATACAAAGATCTCTTAAAACTCGTTCATATGAGAACAAACCACCCAACACTGGGCAAAAAAAAAATTGAACAAGACACTTCACCGAAGGAGATATGCCTGTGAAAAGATGCTCCACATCCTATGTCATCAGGAAAACACAAATGAAAAAGCAAGGGGATACCACTATGTACCTATCAGAATGGCCCAAATCCAGAATACTGACAGCACCAAATCCCGGTGAGGATGTGGAACAACAGGAACTATTGGTGGGGATGCAACACGTTATAGCCACGTTGGAGACAGTCTGGCAATTTGTTTTTAACAAAGTGAAACACAGTCGTGGCACATGCTACAGCAATGGCACTCCACACGAAAACTGCAAGTGAATCTTTATCGTAGCTTTATTAATCATGGCCCAAACCTGGAAGCCATCGAGCTGTCCTTCAGTAGGTGAATGAATATAAAGCTGATGCCCTCGCTTGGAGTAGGGGACATCTCTTACTCATGGAGGGAGAACCTGAGGAGGAAAGGCTTAGAGTTGTGACCCCTGAAAATACATCCTGCATATCAGATATTTACATTACGATTCATAACAGTAGCAAAATTACAGTTATGAAGTAGCAACGAAAATAATTTTATGGTTGGGGGTCACCACAACATGAGGAACTGTGTTAGGAAGGTTGAGAACCACTGGCTTAGACTTTGCTTGGTGTCTTCCAATAACCCTTCGAGATCCGCAGGAAGGACCCTGGAGGGAGGCGGGGAGTAAGTTGGGGTTTTGATCCCTGGTGATTTTCCTGTGGGATCACCCCAGGATGACTACTTTTCCTGATGAAGACCCCGTCTCCTATCTAGTGGTCCTCTCCACAGAGCTCTCTCTGATCTGGTAACCACTCTCCTCGTGTCCCCTCAGGCCTCCTGGTGCTAAGGGGAGTATCCTACTGTCACTAGCCTGGGTTCTGCCCTCTGCCTTGGGGCTTCCTTATACTTAGCCCACGTCTTTGTAAATGACTCCTGTATTGCACTTACCTCGAATTGCCAAGTTTGCATGTCATGTTTCTTGCTAGAGCTTGACTGACACAGCGTGCCGTCCAAGTTGGCTCAGACAGGCATGGAAGGCTTTATGTGGGAGAGATATCTCTTTCTTGCACGAAGTAAATGATCCCTGCTGACATCGTGTAACTATTAGATCAGCAACGCTGATCCTCTACCACTTCTGGACTTCCAATGATGTGATCTAAACACTGTTACTGTTTTATCCACTTTGAATTGGATTTTCCCAGCTTTTGAAGTGGAAAGTTACTTAACAGGTAGGTTCTTTTTAAAATATATTTTTATTGATTTTAAAGAGGAAGGGAGAGGATAGAGAGAGAGAAATATCAGTGATGAGAGAGAATCATTGATCGGCTGCCTCTAGCATGGTCCCTATTAGGGATCAAGCCCACAACCTGGGCATGTGCCCTTGACCAGGATCAAACCCGGGACACTTCAGTCCTCAGATGGACGGTCTAGCCACTGAGCCAAACTGGGTAGGGACACGTTTAGGTTTTTAATAGCTCTTGTGAAACTGTTTTCTCATCCACACTATGACTGTTTTCTCACAACATTGCCTACCACCTTTTTAATTTGTGCCTCCTGATGGCCAGAAACTGAATCTCATGATTGCTTTGATTTGAATTTTGCTAATTACTAGTACAGGTAACTGTAATTACTTCTATTTACTGGATATTTATATTTTTCTTCTTGGTGGAATTCTTTTTACATCTACTCCTCATTTTTCTATAGAATTACTTGCATTTTCCTTATTGATAAGTTGAAACAACTTTAAAACTTTTGCTAGTAATTGTTAGCTTGCTAGATGTATTGCAATTATTTTCTACCAAGTACCTTAGTTTTTAACTTCATTCCATGATGAATTTTGCCCAAAGTTGTACAGTGGCTGATGATGTTCAGTTTCTCACTTTCTCATTCACGGCATGTGTATTTTGAGAGATGTAGCTCATTGAGTGAAGGCCAAAAGTTGTCTGTCATTTGGCTCTTTGTCCAGGAATTTTAAACTTTAGGCATTAAACCTACAACCCTTCCTTAAATTTTGTACCAGGATCTGAACAATGAAGGCTTCAGCTATTTTTGTTTTTTGGTTGCACATGTGTCCAATTTGGTCAAAAGCTGTTTTAAATTTAGGGAAATTTAAATCCTATGTTGGTCCTATAGAGTTTGGTTCTTTTGTCTTAATGCTTTCAATGCTTCTGCCATTTTGGTGAGTAATTTATGGGTCATTTTTGTTAATTTGTCCTTCATTTTTACACGAGGGAGGGGAGGTTAAATAGCACATTGGCTCACACCCTACAATCTGGGTTTCATGGAGAGACTGGCTTCAGGAAGATGCGATGGTACAGCCCACAGGGAAGCAAGGCATATGCGATGGGCTTGGGATGCCTGGGAGTGGGCAGAGGTTTGGTGCAACTACATTCCCCCACCCCCACTGGTCATGGTTGCCCTGCACAGGCAGCTAGGATTTCCTTGGCATTTTCCCAAAACATCCAGAGTTCAAAGGGCCCATGCTCTTCTCTGTGGTTCACAGCACACATCACATTGCCCCCTTGGTTGAACAGAAGTGGGTACCGGTTGCCATGCTCAGGCCAGACCCCCAGCCCTGCTTGCAGGTGGCCCAGGGTAAGGCCTGAACTGCAGTGGCATTGGTCCTCTCAGAAGTCCCAGGGGAACTGGTGAGCCCCATGGCAGGATTGGGGGTTGGGAGTTGTAGATTCTAAAACCAGTTCTACTGTAAATTTGATTCTGTGTAGTTGTTAACTGTGGGTGCCAGATAACTTCTCCTGCTTCACAATTCCTTCTACTTTATTAGTTGTGACTGTCAGCTTGGTTACACGAGTAAGTTATTATAGAGACTGAGCCTCCATGACAGATTCTGGAGATTCCAGTGGTGAATGGTCACCCTCTCCCACCTCACCTGGTTCCCAGGGATGGTCCCTCAACTCAATGAGATCATGGGCAGGTGAAGTGAGCAAGATAGCAGTGCACAAGACCAAGCAAGCATGGGTGATAATATTGGAGAGCTTGAAAATTAGAATCTGGATTCAGTGATCTCTTAAAAATTATTCCCATGTCTCAGATCTTTGGCTTAATGAGTACGTACTTGAAGTCAATTCAAGCCACACTTAATGATGTACACAATTTCCCTTTGTTCTATAACACAATAAAGCATTAATAGAAAGAATCTAGCAAGCTTGGTGATGTTTATATAGCAGAACCATGTT